GCAATGTCACCCCTCTGTGTCACTATTTTGTCCATGTGCCAGTTTCCCCTGAAGCAGGACGTGCACTCTGGTGCATGGCAGCTGAAATCATCTATTAAACCAGTAAGTGGTGGCCTGCAGCCAGCCTAAGGAACACAGGACAGCACTGTCCAGTCCAGCCCTGTCCACAGCCAGTACTGCTCCCTACATGTGCTCAAGCGGAGACTTTCTCCCACACAGAGCGGATATAAGAGAGATGGCAAGTCTCTCTTGGGCCATCACATATTTTTTTTTATATTTCTTATTATATTTATTCCATTAAAAATACTTCCAAAATCTACAAAAGTTAAATGTTCCTCTAATGTAAATTTGCCTCACAACATCCATGGGCCATCACATTTATTAACTTCCTGCAGGAGCTTGACTTGACTTTACTCTGTCCTGGCTCAGAGGAAAGGGACTTGGGAATAAAAATGTGAACAGAATGCATTATTGTCCCTGAATCAGGCAAATTGCATAAAATAATGATACAAACCACTCTTTAAATGTAACATTATCACATAGATACAGTTTGTTGAAATGCAGGTGCGCTACCTGGAGCTCTGGGCATGGAGAGTGCTGGGGAGGGCATCCGCATCCTCCGTATCCACCTCTGGTAGGCCCTTGGTCCACTTTCACCATCACTGGACCCTGGGAGTGGTCAGAGCTTGGCCCTTCTCCCTGAATTCCTTCCATAGCAGCACCAAGGTGCACTGGGTGCCAGCATCCCTCCCTGGGCAGGGAAGGCTGGTGCTGTGCCTACAGGGAGTAAGAGACCACCTGGGTGGGCCAGGCTTCAGTGGGGCTTCTGGGGAGAAAATGCAGGGCTAGGAGCTCACACTCATTAGGTCAGTGCAATAGAAAACAGGAAACAGGGCTGGAGACACAGTCGCAGTGGAGTGTTTGTCCAGAATGTGCAAGGCCCTGGGTGTGACCCCAGCATGAGCACTGAAAAAGGAAAACCATGAAAAATAAGAGCAGAAAATAGCAAGTGTGGGGAGCTTGTAAAGAAAGTGGAACCCTTGGCACTGTTGGAGAAGCTAGAACTACCTTATGATGTGGAATCCCACCTCCAGGTGCAGACCCACCAGAATAAACCAGGGCCTGGAAAGATTGCATGTGTATCTGTGCTCTTAGAGGCATTCCACATATGGCTGAAATATGGAAGCAGCCCATGAGTTCCCTGACAGAGGAGTTAATAGTCAACTGTGGGGTGTGTGTGTGTGTGTGTGTGTGTGTAAAATGAAACATTGTTATGGTTACACATGAAGAAATCTGCAACATGCTACCATGAGGATGATTGTTGCAGAGGTGACACTGAGTCAAGTAAGTTGACAGGAAAGACGAGTATCAGAGGACGGCACCTGGGTAAGTCACCGGGAGTGGGCAGGATGAGAGGGACAGAAAGCAGAAAGGTGTCGCCAGCCACGGGGCATAGCAAGCAGGAAGTTATTATTTAACAGAGCAACAGCTGTGTACAGTGAAATGTTTAGGAGATTATCATCGTTTTCAACACTATTGATGTATTTAATATTACCGACTCTGTGCTTAAAAACGGGATTGTTAATTTAAAAAAATACATTTTTTTAGTTGTAGTTGGACACGATACCTTTATTTATTTATTTCACGGGGTGCTGAGACTTGAACCCAGTGTCTCACACATGCTAGGTAGGCACTGAGCTACAGCCCCAGCCCCCAGGATAGTAAATTTTTTGTTAAGGGTATTTCACCCCATTAAAAAAAAAATGTCAGGATTACAAATGCAGGATGCAATTGCTTAAGTGGAAACAAACAGAGACATTTAACAACCCCAAGCTGGAGGGAAATGCTGAGTCAGACCTGGTGTTCTTGAGGTCTCAGCTCAGGCTGTGGGGCTGGGAGATTGTGGATCCTCAAGCAGAGAGGAGGGTGGGACCTGGGAGAGATGAGGGCCTTGGCCAATAGGGCTCCTCATAAACAGGAGGCTGTGCAGAGACCAGGAGCCCACCCCTGGAAGGAAGCTAAGGCCAGCAGCAGAGGAGAACGTGGGTTCTGTATTTCAGCCAGCTGATGGCCTCAGAGGAGGCAGGCCAGGGAGGCTAGAGGAGGAGTGGAGGATGGGCAGGGTTCCCCCGGGAGATCCTAAACTCTGCACCCTGAATCGGTCAGGATTAGGGTCAGGAATGGAGAGGCTGAGCATCAGAAACGCGTTAACAACAAGGAGTATTGGCACAAAGATTGTTCAGCCTGAAAGAGAGACCATGAGAAACAGGAATTCAAGTTAAATAATCAGATGCCCGGGAGGAGCTTCCCACGGGCTACTATCATCCACCCCACCATTGGCCCACTCCTAAGGGAACTTTGTTTTTAAGAACAATGTTATAGACCTCATTAGCCTCCCAGTGTCAGAAAACAAGCTTAAGAAGCAATTTTATGCCTGGCCCTGTGGTGCACGCCCTAATTACAGTGGCTTGGGAGGCTGAAATGGGAGGATTGGGAGTTCAAAGCGATTCTTATCAACTTAATGAGGCCCTTACCAACCCAGCAAGACCCTGTCTCCAAATAAAATGTTAAAAAAAAAAAAAAAGCTGTGGATGTGGCTCAGTGGTTAAGCACCCCTGGGCTCAAGCTCTGGTGCCAAAAAAAGAAAAAGAAAGAAAGAAAACACTTTGAGCTTTGCGCTTAACAGCTCTAAAACAATAAGTGAGCTCCCCTACCTCACCCCAACCTCCTAAAAACCACCATGATCCCACCAGAAATGATGACCTTTCCTTAGCCTGCCAGTCAGATGGGGGTGTCTGGGTTCAAATGACCCTAATAATCAACTTATCCATGCATGGGAGCCAATAGGTTGCTTTATTGTATTTCAAGTTTTGTAAATTAGATATTCCAGCCTCTGCCAGAGCCATGGGGACAGAACAAGATCATACAGTAACACACAGAATGACACAGATGTCATGTTGGATGCATAATGGTCACCTCTGAATTCTCTCCTACCTTCTAAACTGTCCCCCCCCCCTGCTAGTATTTGCTGAGTGTCATATGTGCCACTCACTCTATGAAGTCCCAATGACACGGCAGTGAAAACAGGAGCCGGCCCCGACCTGAGGCAGCTCATCTTCTGACTCATTATCCTTGCTCCACTTATTTTGTCATCTCTTTTTCTGTCTTTAATTAAATATATCCAGCTTATGCCAGGACCTCTCTTTGGCATGTGGTGCCTCTTAGCTCATGTGACCCTCTGCACAGCCTCGTAAGAGGGCCGCAGCCCTGACCTCCAGTGTGAGATGAAATGCAGCAGGGAAAGTGACCCAGCTCATCCCAGCCTCTTAGCAAGTGGCACAGCCTGCAACCTGGAACCAGGTCGGCTTCTCTAATTCCAGGCCCACGGCCCTTTCCCTTTCTTCTCAAACCTCACATCTTCAGTGTCCTGCTCGCACCTGAAGTGCCGATCCATTTCACCTCTCCACCTCACCTTTGGGCAGGCAACCTCAGGGTCCTTTACACCCCACTGACTACCAAAGCCCAGGCCAGGATTTGTGCTCATAGGCATGAACCTTGGAGGACAGGCCAGGGCCTGAGTCATCTGGCCCAGCCACTCCCTGCAAACTTATCTTGCTGCCACTCCTCAGGCCCAGCATGAGCCTGGCTGGCCGCCTCTGGCCACCTGGTGCCCCAGCTGCCTTCCTCCACACCCGCTGTGTGCACTGGTGGGGGATCTACCTGCAGCTTCACTCACCCCCACACATCAGCAGACCTGGCAGGGTCTGCCTGGACCCTGCAGGCCACTGTAGAGTCCTCTGCTATATTCCTGCAGGACCAGTGGGTGATATTTCTCCCAGGTAATAACTTGTAATGACACATTGGCCTGACTCCGTGCTCATCTCTCCCAGTTGACCTCAAGGCTGCTTTAGAGATGAGGTCCTGGCTCTGTTCCTCATCCTCACGCCTCAGGCCCCAGGGTTCCGTGGCTACCAATAAACATAAACATGCACAGACAGACTGATTTGCCAGAAGCACGACCCACTGTCACCTTAAAACTCATCCATAGTGAAATTACACTTTGTTCAGATGACAGACACTCCCACCGACCTGCCAGACTTCTGGATGACATTAAAGACCTCATTGTACTCCTACAACTTTGCCTCCCCTTGGGGGAGCAGGTCTTTGGTTAATCCCCTACCTGCTCCTGTCTCAGTCTCCCCCCTCCCATAGATGCACTGATGGTGGTGGGAAATGTGCCTTCCAACTAATACCTTGGATTACCTCTTTCTCACTTCCAGTGTATGCGCTGCCCCAATTGTAATACACCAGTCCATACTGGCTGTCAGCAAATGGGTGCCACATTTTTTAAAATATTTATTTTTTATGGGATGCTGAGGGTGGAACCCAGTGCCTCCCACGTGCTAGGCATGCGCTCTACCATTGTACAACCTCAGTCCCAGTGCCATATTTTTTAAACCTTCAGAATTGTTGCTGGGCTGTAGACCTATCATCATTATGTGCATCTATTCAGGTATCTCCTCTTCAATGGTTTCATTTCTTTATCATTAGATAATTCACAGAAGATAGAAAAACTAAAGTTGGTGGAAAGAAGATTAAGAAAAATAAGCATACTATATAAAGAAAAAGATTTAAATAATGACTATGCTATAGGAAGACCATGGAGTGGATCAGCAATAAGGAGAGGAAGGAGCTCAGTTATTCTTCAAATCTCCTGACCCTGGAAACATTAGTAGCTGCTCCACTGCGAAGGTGCACGCCCAGACTCCAGGGAGAAAGGCTCAGCTGGGCTCACCCTTAGGCAAGTATGTGCCTCTGTGTCGAGTTCACCTGGAATATCGTGAAGACCACAGAACCGGGCTACAATCAGCTAATTCCCTTCATCGATGCACTTCAGGTTACTTTGTAAAATCTTGTTAAACTTTGGACTTTTAAACTTTTGAGATAAGTAGTCAAATCTCCATGATGCTTCCCTTTCAGATGACTTAAATGTTGCATTACATCAAAGCACTCAAATAAAAATATTCCGTGGAAGGAAGAGTGAGGAAGAGAGAAAGAAGAGCTCAGCTTCCAAGGAGATAAGGATTACTTGAATGTCAATTTTTACTCCTGTGGTTGAGGGTGTCTGAGTTGTAAATCATCAGCAGAAGTGGTTAATTAAGACTCTTGAACCCCAGCCAGCGATAACCCATCCTGGCCATGAGCCCTTCTCTTGGTGCCAGGCAACAGAGGAGATAACCGGCGCCACGGGGCAGCGGCAGCCACGCGGCCAGGCGAGGCCAGCACCATGGCCTCCGGGGCGCCCGGGGAGCTGCTCCGGGAGGAGGCCCGGTGCTCCGTGTGCCTGGATTTCCTGCAGGACCCCATCAGCGTGGACTGCGGCCACAGCTTCTGCCTCCGGTGCATCTCGGAATTCTGCAAGAAGTCGGAGAGCGCGCAGGGCGACGTGTACGCCTGTCCTCAGTGCCGCGGCCCCTTCAGGCCCGAGAACTTTCGGCCCAACCGGCAGCTGGCCAGCCTGGTGGACAGCGTGCGGCAGCTCGGGCTGGGCGCGGAGCCCGCGGGGGCGCGCCAGTGCGCGCGGCACGGCGAGGACCTGAGCCGCTTCTGCGAGGAGGACCAGGCACTCTTGTGCTGGGTCTGCGACACCACGCCCGAGCACCAGGGCCACCGCACGGCGCCGCTGCGGGAGGCCGCCAGGAGCTACCAGGTGAGCACGGGAGCCCAGGTGCCGAGCGGGGCCACGGGCCTCTCGTGTAGGACGGAAGGCACCGGGGCACCGAGCGCCCGGCCCGCCGGGTCGTCCTGCCTCGGCTCCCGCTAGCCAGCGCGGGACCGGCTGCTTTCAAGCTGGTCTTTTTCTTCCCGATCCCAAGCCGGCGGGCTGTGCAGTGAGTCTCGGTGACAGCCTTGCACCTCCGTCGTACTCGCTTCCACTGACGGGATTCCTAGGGCGCAGCGTTTGCCTGGTGTCTGTCTAGGTCCCTTAACATGGGCACCAAGGCCACCCTCGGGCTCGGACCTTCGTGAGGAATAGCGTCTGCTCAGGCCTGGACTGTCTGGGTCCCCTGAAGTAGGACCGAGTTGCAAAGGTGCTTGACCCCAAGAGCGCTCCGACGGACTCTGCCCAGGTGTCTTCCCACAGGTGCCCTCTGGTCCTGGACATACTCTAAACACGTGCCTGTCCCGGAATCTGGAACAGCTGCTAGCACAGAAGAGGTCAAAGCTGTCTTTTTAATCTACTGGCACAGTTAGCCAAAGCACTCCATCACACTGTAATTAAGTTCCAAGTACCAGCTTTCTTAAAGCGTTCATTTATTTATTCTATTTGTTTGTTTTAAGTTAAGGACTGGGGTATTCACCAGCCAACATTCATCTGGACAATCTTGGAAATTTCTCTCTTGATTTTTCCTCTTGATTTCTATTATCCTCTACAAAGTACAGGTATAGGTGCTCTCTAGCCTACCTGAAAAGTCAAGTATGCTCCTGTCTGTCTAAATCCCCAAAGTACCATACAGAACATGGCTGCTGTGATATCGCTAAAGATGTTCTCTGTTTTCAGTAGTCAATTAGATAAAAAATAAGTACCATCCAAACTCCTTGGTCTGTCAATCAGACTTTCTAGGTTCTGAAGTCCCCTTCCTTCTGCTCTTATCCAAGCCAAACATGGGCCCCAGCAAAATTAGCCTAGTCACTCTTGTCCCCAAACATGCCTCTTCTTTCACCTCCTTGCTTTTTTGCTCAGTGTCTTTGGTTCCAGGGAGCTTTCCTCCGTCTACAAGTGAGAATGGCTCTGTTTCTTACAAACACCAAACATATGCCTCTTTTTATTCTGATGCCACCATGAATTCTAATGTTACTTTATGTGTACTTTATATAGAGTATTATAATATTTTAAAGTGAATGATATATATGTGAGATTTATTGAATAAGTTTAGAGGTAGAATTTGTATTATTTTCTACTAAAAACATATTTCTGTATGTGTTTTTATGGGAGCTTCCTGTTTTAAAAAGAAAGGCATGTATATGCCTCTTGGAAGGGTCTTATCATTGAAGAGATGTAATTTCTGGGTTTTTGTTTGTTTGATTGTTTGGTAGGCTTTTTTACACTTATTTTACTCCTTTTGAGATGTACAGAATATTGTGGTTTTCACCTAGAGTATTTTATTTTATTTTTATTTTATTAATTTATTTAATGATACCAAGGATTGAACCCTGGGGCTTTACCACTGAGCCACATCCTCAGACTTTTTATTTTTTTATTTTCAGGTAGGGTCTCACAAAGTTGCTTAGGGCAGTGTTAAATTGCTAAGGCTGACCTTGAACTTGAGATCCTCCTGCCTTACCCTCTAATTTGCTGAGATTATGGGCATGCACCACCGCACCTGACTTCATTTAACATATTTTAACCAACAAGATTTATTTTTGGTGAAACACCATGACTTATAGTACTAATAACAAACACACTTTTCTCATCGTAATTAATAAGAAATTGTATCACTCTTCAACCTAGCACCAATAGATGACATTTCACCTAATAATGTCTTCATTTCTCTCCATCTATTTTTTACATATTCATTATAAGCATTTTTTTTTCAAAATTGGCACCGTTATAAAATGTACTTATTTGACATTGTAATTCTATTTCTTGTCATTAAGTTTCCTATCGTGTTGATGTAAAATGTTTTGCCACTCATTTTTACATTTTAGTCATTGTAGTTTTACAATAGTAATGGTACAAGGAGTACGATTTTAGATGAATCTTTGCATCTGGTATTAACTGAGTTACCAGTGAAGGTGTCCACCTGCATTCTAGGGAGTTTTCCAGTTGATCCTGCAGGTCCTCACAGTCTGCTCCACACAGGTGAAGCTGCAGATGGCGCTGGAGCTGGTGAGGAAGGAGATGGAGGAGGCGATGATGCAGGAAGCCAATGTGGGGAGGAGGACTGTGCTGTGGAAGGTAGGAGGCCTTGGGCCTGGGGAGCTGCAGGCACCACCCTCTTCCTGAGTCTCCATTTGTTGAGAGCCACAGTTTAGTCAGAATGACGCCTGGCATTTTTGCCAGATGGAATGGTTGAAAGGTGACCCTGCTCTGGGATTAGGGCTGCTGGGGTGGGGGGATTAGGGTGGATCCTGCTGGGAATAGGGCGGTTCCAGGATTAGGGCGATCCTGCTGCCTCTAGTTAGGGAGCCCACTACTTTGGAGTTCCTTTTGAGTTCTCGCGGGGTTCTGAGAGAATTGGCACACAGAGCCCGGTGGAGGCAGTGTGTTCCCTGGAAGTGTGTGTAGAGTGCTGGTGAGAGTTCGGGAATAAAGGTTGCTGTTTGAACCTACAAGGCTGTGTGGCGGCTCGGTTATTTTGTGCCCAGCCAGACTGCGGCATCCATTCTCCAGCGAGCTTGCCATTTACTTAGGCGCTCCATAGAAACATCTCATGGCCATCCTGAATTGTCCCAGACCCCAAGTGATATTGTTCATTTTTGTTTTTACCTCTGTCAGCAAGACCCTATCCAGATTATAAATAGCTTTACTCTCTTGATCTTACTGTGAAACTCACTGCTGGGGTGGGTGCCACCACCTGCTACTGTAGTGTCAAACTGTATTTGTCAGACAGTTAAACAGTGAATGCCACAGGCCTGGTGACAGATGTGGTGCAGTTCCCAGGGGCCATCTATACAGGGAGGGACTGGAGCCTTCAGCCTCCTTGGGTCATCCATCCACGGTCCCCTCTTTCTGCACCTCAGCAGCCCCTCCCCCCTTGTTTTTCTCCTACATTTCATTTACACACAGTGGCTGTGAACCTGGACCACATGCCCTCCTCTCCAATTCCACAGCTGGAGAGGCTTTGAGTCACCATGCTTGCTGCTGCCATTCATGGCAGAGGCTGGAATGTTGCTTGGCCCCCTACAGTGCCCAGAGCAGCAACTGCACCCCTCAACAGTGAATTGTAGGTCAAACCTGCCACAGTGCCAAGGCTGTGAACCACATATAGTGTCATGTTGGATGGGTTTATTAGGTACACAGTACAGTATATAACATGATCAGATATATTTTATAGAATATTCCTCTTCTTTCTCCTCCAAATCACCATGCTAAAATCATTCTTTATATTATTTTCTTCCTCAAAAATTTAGTTTGATACACTATCTTCATACAGATATTTTCATAAGGACCTTTATTTATTTATTTATTTATTTATTTATTTATTATTGTGCTGGGCATTGAAACCAAGGTGCTAGGCAATTGAGCTACATCCACAGCCCTTTTTACTTTTTATTTTGAAACAAGTCCCACTAAGCTGTAGAAGGTGGCCTCAAACTTGTGATCCTCCAGCCTCAGTGAGTCACTGGAATTACAGTGCACCACTGTACCTGGCTCACAAGGACCATTTTTGCTATATTTTTCTTATGAAATAAGTCTTATCTTCTCCTATTGCTATGTCTATTATAGGTAAAGTTAAGCACTGATTCACAATCTTTATTATTTAAAGGTAATAATATTTAATTTTTTAAAATATTGGCCTGACCACAGATTTATGAAATCAGGAACCCAAGAGCAAGATCTGAATTCCCGCATTTTAAAACCTCCAATGCATGTCATAACATAGAAGTGATGCTAAGATATCTCGTTCAGAGGCGAGTAGCCATGTCTGAACTTCTTGGTCGCTCATGTTCACATGAGCCAGAACCATCAGGCACAGGCTTGATGGAAAGGAGCTCTAAGTTCTGCAGCAGCACTTCTTCTTTCTTCACATCCAGAGGAAATTGTGGCACTCAAGAGGGTGACGTGAAGGAAGCTGGGCTGCCGCGGCCTCTCCACCCCGTCATCCCTGGTGCACCCCTGGACTCCCCTCCCTGTGTCAGTGCTCAGCCCTCTCTCCAGCAGCCTGCCCTGGGAGACAGTGTGCATTTCTATGCCTCTCGGGAACCAGAATGTGGAATGCAGAGTCAGTGTCCCTGAGGAGAAGGCCAAGAGTGTATGAATCAGTGATTTAGAAAACAGTAAAGGAGGTAGGAATGCAAAATGGGAAGAAGGAAGTGGGAGACCTTGGCGCTGTGGCCAGTGGGCCATCAGCTCCTTGTCAGGAGGAGTAGGCACTCTCCCCGTAGGCTGTCGCTCAAAAGCACTCAGCCTCTGCGGTGGATGGCAGCAGTAGGCGGCACCTCCCCGAGAGGGGCGATCCAAAGTACCTCCAGTCATTTGGGGAGAACTATTATTTGGATTAAAAATTATATATATATATGTCTTTTATAATAATTTTGATGATAATTTATGTCTTTCAATTAAACCAAGAAATTATCAGGTTTAAAAACAAAACAGAAAACCCAAGGTGCAGATGCTTTGGGAGGATGATTTGCCGCTCATGCTCAGTTTAAAGCTGGGTTTCTAGCTACTAATTTCAAGAGAGTAACATTTAGATGTGATCCCCTGTGCACAGTGTGATCCTTAGGTTCAGTCAGACACCGACGTGTGAGGGCCAGGTGTGCCTCAGGGGCAGAGCTGCTTGCCCAGCCTGAGTGAAGCCAGGGGCTCTGTCCTCAGCACCAGGAAAGCAACAACAAGAGCCGTGATGGGAGATTTGGGTAGGGGCTGGTGTAATAGCCTGGAGTGAGTGGCCTGCGTGGCAGTTAGCTCTTCTGGGCTCTGCAGAGGACACGGCCTTGTGCTGGTTTCTTGCTTCTCCTGGGACAAGAGAACATCTGTGTGTTCTCCTGTCACATTGTCCCTCACAGCCCAGGCCTTCTGCTCTTCCTGGCCACCCATCCAGCAGCAGAGCCAGCCCTCTGCTGTGGGGCCACACAGGCTCTCGGAGGTGCCCAGATGATCCCCACGCTTCTCTTTCTGCTGCATTTGACTCGTGATATTGAAACCCGCTTGTCAAAGGCCTTGCCTCCGGCCCTGCAGCACAAGGGGGCCCACAGCCACAGTCTTCCCAGACTCTGAGCTTGAAAACCCCACCGGCCGCCTCTCCTGTTCCCGGCCTCTGGTTTCTGAGGTCCTCCCCAGAGGTGCAGAGCGAGGCGGGGGTGGGTTCGGGGTGGGGGTTGATGCGGGACGTCCCTTCTCTGGCTGCCCGTCCCACACACCTTGCCCCAGCATGATGGGGTCTCCTGTTGCTCCAGGAGAAGGTGGAGATGCAGCGGCAGCGCTTCAGGTTGGAGTTTGAGAAGCACCGCGGCTTTCTGGCCCTTGAAGAGCAGCTGCAGCTGCGGAGGCTGGAGGAGGAGGAGAGAGCCACCCTGCAGAGACTGCGGGACAGTAAGGACCAGCTGGCCCAGCACAGCAAGGCCCTCAAGGAGCTGGCAGAGGAGCTGGAGGAGAGGTGCCAGCGCCCAGCCCTGGGGCTGCTGGAGGTGAGGTGGCCTCAGGAGGCCAGGCCCACAGAGGCTGAGGGGATGGGGACAAGCCTTGGCATGGGACACGAAGGCACCCAGCTCTCTAGGACAGAGCTCAGCAGTACTTCCTTAGAAGGCATCTTACGACTGAAGTCAGGATGAACCCAGAGGACCATTTAGCTCATGCAAAAGACAAAAACTTCAATATGTGATGAGTTAAAATTAATTATTTATGGAATCGTGAACAGCTGGGGCAAGGATAAGGTGCACCATTCTGGCTGAGAAACCGTCCTTTTATCAAAGATGATATTGCTGATTTTCATGAATGTTCAACCCCCAAAGCCTCTGGCAGCCCATTTCATGGAAAATAGCCAGAAGTATGAGCAGTGCTTCACCTAGTCCAGCTTGAAATTCCTGTGTTAAGTCCTAAGGGGAGTGTATGGTGGGAGTGTATGGACTCCCGTGCAGATTTCTCAATCTGTTGGGACTTCAGAGCAGCCTTTTTAAAGTTTTAATTGGAGACAGGGTCTCACTCAGAGGCCCAGGCTGGCCTTGAACCACCCACTCCTGCCCCAGCCTCCCCAGGGTCTGGGGTCACAGACACAGCTGTTCTGCCCCACAGGTGTTGTTCACAGGGCCGCCTGCAACAGAAATTCATTCACCTGGTACTTTTCTCTGTACCTTGCCCCAGTGACAGGCAAGGATTCTAACCTAAAAGAGAGTGCAGATCCCCATTGAGTGGCTGGCCCACAGTGTCCCAACTGGACACTGCAAGTTCCAGGCACATAAACCCAGTTGCTGTCTTGTGACATTTGCAAACACAGTTGTCAATATTGTGGCATCTGATGGGGAATCACTAAGTAACTGCATGAAACGCTTTTATCTACCAAGCACTTTATTCAATCTGTCCATTCTATCTTCATTCCCATTACCAATGTCATGGCTGTGCTCATTTCCTAATGAGTAAACAGAGAGCCAGAAAGAAATTAATTTTTCAAGTATAGGTGGCAAGTAAGCACATGAACGTTGGCATTTTCAAAAATAATATTCACTGCATTATCTCAGATAACATCTCATTTAAAATGAGTATTTCTTTGCACCATATAAATGTTAAAATGGTTTATAGTACAAATCATAGTAAGAATATTGTCTTACATAATTTTTGTCTGTGTCCTCTCTCTTTCTTCTCTGATACCAATGATCTTCATTTTACCCCACTGGCCAAGCCCCAGGCCGATCATGTCCATAAAGGACAAGGCAAATGGTTTCCCTGCATTCATGCCTTGTTGAAATTTGTCCGACTGTTGACCACTTTTAGGGAAGAAGACAAGTGTTGGAGGTGACCTTTTTGTTACCCGCTTTGAGATACACTGTTCCTGGATAGTAATGACTTCCTTTCTTATCTCCTTAGACAGTTAGTAGCTTTGTCTGTTGGTTCAGAGAATTCGAATTTGAAGATGACTTTTTCTGGAGTACTGGGACAGACACAGGGCCCTGTTCAAGTCAGGCAAGCCCTCGACCATGAGCAATATGTCCAGTTCCAGGATCTATGCCGTACTTATCTCTGTTCCTCAAGTAAATTCCGAAAACATGTAGGATTTTTACCCTAATTCCATCTGTATAAAATGCAGAATGTAACTGTTAAAATAGCCCAATAACTAGAGCTATCAGTTGACAATCCACAGTTGATGGATAGGTTTCATGGGAATTAATATAAACTTTGTGTAGTCTGACTCTGTTCTAATTATATTCCTGATTTTTAAATTTTAGAGTCATGTGAGAATTCAATTATAGCCTTTTTTGCCTTTAATTAACAGAGATTCACTGTCACCTGCAGTCTTATGTTGCTTGTTAATTATTTCCAGTACATTCTAAAGACATTTTCGTGGTGTGTCCCCAGTCAACTGTGGGAAGCACTTACACCTGCTTGTGTCTCTTACTTCCAGGGTGTGCAAGGAGCCCTGAGCCGGTAAGTGTACTTTCCGCTCCAGTGAGGGAGCGGGGGAGGCGGAGAGGGCTGGTGTGGCCATGCTGACATTTCCAGGTTCTCTGCTCTTCTCAGAAGTAAGGCTGTGATGTCGCTGGAACCAGAGACCATCCCCATGGAACTGAAGACCACGTGTCGCATCCCTGGCCTGCGGGAAATGTTGAGGAGATTCCAAGGTGGGTGGAGCCCTGGAGCCTGGGAACTGATGCTGAGAGTGTGGGGCTTACTGCTGCCCTTACTGCCCTGGCCTGTGGCCACAGCAGAGCAGCCACAGCAGAGCCTCAGGTCTCTGAAACTCACTGTGTGAGTGTGCTCTCATATGCGAGGGAGCTCACAGGGTGTCGTGGCCTCTCACCTGGGGCCCAGCCTGGCAGACCTCCAGCTCCTTCCTGGGTACAATGCGTCAGCCCTGCCCAGAAGAACATGTGGGTGTCTCCCTCGAGGAGTCGATCAGTTCTCCAGGGTTGCCCCGCTGGCTCCCACTCACTCAATTCTGACACTGTCCACCTGCAGGCATCATCGAATCCCACAGGTTGAGGGCCTGGTCCCGCAAAGCTGTGCCCTGCTTCAGGAGCAAGGAACAAGCAGGCTGTGGCTTGTGCCTCTGACCAGCCAACTGCAAAGCAGCTTTCCCGGGACCCGCTCTATGAGCGCGGTTTGTTTGCTAGAGCAGCTCCCAGAACTCAGACCCTACTCACACTTGGTCAGTTATTGTACAGGGTGTTGCAGAGGATGGGGACCAGAAGCCAGGTGGAGGAAACCAACAGGGTGGTATGGGGAGGGGCAACACACCCTCTCTGGGTGCTCCTTGCAGGATCTCCTTGTGTGCAGCCACTGTCAAGCTTCGCCTTTGGGTTTATGGAGGCTTCATTTAGCAGGCATGACCAGTGACACCACTGGCCACTGCTGACCCCTGGAGCTTCAGCCCCACTCTCCTCCCAGAGGCAGGGGGATGTTGGACTGAAGGTTCTGTCCCTTTAATACAAAGGGGGTTCCCTGGAAACCAGCCCCATCCTGAGGTCATGGAGGCCTATAAGCACCAGCCATCTCATTAGCATGCAAAAGAGTCCCTTGTCTCAGGACTTTTGGGAACTGGTGTGTCAGGACCTGTAGACCAAAAATACACTGCACTCTCTCACCATGACTCATGCACTGCCCTTGGCCTTCCTGAGGATTTCAGTGTTGGGGTGAGTTCAGCTGTGAAGGGGTGGAACAGTGCACCTGCCTGCAGGAAGGGGGAGGGGACATTTGTGCACAATCCAAGCGGATGCCAGTCAGGGACACCCAGAGGGTCTGCATGAAATGGCTTTGTTCACCCAATCATGTTGTTCTGTAAAATGGTGACGATTCAATATTTTTACTATTTCCTTTTAAAATCTACTTTGCACCACATAATACAAACTGTGGCTTCCCAGGGACAGTCTTGTCCTGTAATGAGAAAACCTACCTCAGTTGTAGCACCCAGTGACCCCCCCCCACCCCGTTTGGTGGACAGGTGAACATACACTAGCCATGTGACTTGATGAGGGCCTTTGCAGCACACCCCCAGACTCTGTCACCTCCTATGCTTTTCCTTTTTACCGAATGAAATAGTTAGTGAATGAATCCAGCCCATGCTGCCTAGTTTATGCTGCCCTTTCTACAAGTGGAGTGAATCATTGAAGAACAAAAGCAAATCAAATGTGCTATGACCCATGATTCACGGTGCAAATACTGACTTCAGTTACCCAGGCACACGGCTATGAGGAGAGGACACGGGCTTCTGTAGAGTGTGATGAGGGTGGCCAGAGGCTCCAAGTTTGAACTAGATGAGGGGAAACAGTGACATCCACTAATTTCTACAATTGATGCATGTTAATAATTATAATAATAGAAAGAAAAAGCTGCGTGACAGGGAGAGGAGCAGAGCGTCGGGAAGCAGGAAGTGTGGCAGGTGTACTGGGACCTTAAGGGCTCTGTGTGGTCTTGCATGTAGGCATCGCAGGGCCTAAACCAATCAGTTTGAATGTGTACCCCGCTTTAGAACTGACCTATCACCCCCGCCCGACCTGTTCCAGCCAATGAATGAACTAATCATGTTTAGGAATTGTTGTTTGATTTTCCCGCGGTGTATGATGATTTGTTAAAGGAGACTGAGATGTATGTAAAGTCCCCGCCCTCCCCAAGAAGTGTACTTAAGCAGTGCTCAGCCCCTGCTCTGGGCTCTGGGCTGCTCTCCCTTCTTGAGTGGGCACGGAGCCCCAGCATGCTGGAATGGATCCCCAATAAATAAACCCCCTTCTGCCAATTGCATGAGTGGTCTCTTGGTGGTCTCTTCCTCCGACGTTCGCTGGACCCTTACAATATGTCACTAGAGATATGTATACATCTGAAACTAAATATGTTTGTCTGAGCCTTATCTAAATGTTCTGTAGAAGTTTATAAAAATGAAAGTTCATATAGGTTTAACCAACAAGCACTATCGTTTATATATTGCATCTGACATAAAAGAGCCACACTGCCAATTGAGAAACTGATATGAATCTGTCTGCTTTAACTAAGTCTAGTTCTGACCATTAACACCGATCTCTAAATACATAAGAGATTTAAGGCTATCCTTTGATTTTTGGTAGTGCTGCTAAACTCTGCAAACCTGTAACGATCTATGAATTCTGAATTTTACTATAAAAAAATTAAAACTGATTAATATAAGGACATCTGTGTAATCATGATGCTAACTACTAGTTCTTTGCATATTAAGTATACTCATATTCTTCTAATATACAAGTTTTAAAATATAAAGCTTGGAAAAGCACTTTACCAAGCTAATTGTCTGAAATGGTAATTTTAAACTTAAAGAAATAGCAAATTTAATTGGAGATTTCTTTATGTCATTTAATGTTCTGTAACAGGACCTGTTATCAATAAGATATATATATATATATATATATAATTTTGTTACTTTTATAAATATTTATTTATTTATTTTTAGGGTTTTTTTTTTTTTTTCCAGGTGAACACAGTATCTTTATTTTTATTTTTATGTGGTGCTGAGGGTCAAACTCCATGCCTCAGGCATGCCGGGTGACTACTCTATGGCTGAGCCACAACCCCAGCCCTTCTGTTACTTTTTATACTGGGGTAAATGTATTTTTAAAAGATAGTGACAGATCTTTTTAAAAGTTGATATTGTAAAACATGAAAACATTTTACCATTTTCCACAAAAAGGGTTAAAAGCTCTCTAAGCTTTTCTTTCATTCATATTTCAGATATGTGAAGAACCCCACCCTACCTTAGATAAGGCTCTGGCTCCCACTTCAGCCCTTGGCCAGCATAGGCTTCATAGGTGAAGGTTCCCTACCTGGGAATCCAAAGGGAGTTTGAATTTAAGAGACAGACTCTAATTACCTTTAAACCAGCTCCAGGATGGCTTTCTGTACCCCCAGCCTCGAGCTACCTATTAGAGTAGTGAGGTTTACTGAAGAGGAGAGAGAGAGAGAGAGAGAGAGAGAGAGAGAGAGAGAGAGAGAGAG